GAGCGAGCCCCTGCCTTAACCGCTCGGCCATTTAGCTCGGCCATTTTTGGTACAATTAGCAAAAAATGTAAAATCTCGGGATGCCTCCGAGATTTTTACCATAGGTCTGTGTACTAGTTACCAGTAATTGTTCATTGCTGACTGACAATTTGCATTAACAGTGACTTTATGTGTGTTTGATTTTATCTTGAGTGGATTTCCCGCACAGTTAAAAATCGTAATGGTACTGGGTTTGGTTTACAGGAGTTCACGCTTCGAACAGATACAGAAACAAATATTTTTCCGCCCTTGATTTTTCAAGATTTTTGTGTTTATACTGAATATTACGTTCGGAATTTAGGAGAGTTTCGGATTTTCGGAATACAATACATGTGTTATTTTAAGTAGTATAATGACCATGTTTTAAATAACGAAATCACCGAAGAAATATCGTTTTAGCGTTCTGTCTTAGCGTGGGAATGATATTTTTAGCATGTCAAGTGCGGGCAATGATCAGAATGTTTGCTTCAAAGACCATGCATGTCCATACGCATGCCCAGAACGATCTATCTGGGATTTTCCACTTGAACTTGACAGTGTCTGTAAATCTGTACTGAACATGTGGTGAAAATAGGGTCGCTTAGTGAGGTGATGTCGTCGCTGCTCGCTTAAGAAGAGCCAAGCCTAGAGCCAAGCCTAGCCTAGACGAAGATTTGTTTACAGTATATAAAGTATCTCAATTCGCTGTTGGCGAATTTGCGAATGGCTAGCGTAAGCGTAGTCTACGCCACGGTATGTGGCGTATGGGGACATAATTAATAGACTAATTTCTTGGAAATTAATTTATAAAAATATCCATAAATTTGCTCTAGCATTATTTATAGACTAAAAGTAGAGGATCTAAAGTTAAAAGTTTTTATCTTTTTTCATTTGGTTTTAGGACTAACTTTTAGACGTCTGCATGGCGTACGGGACACAACGAAAAGTCAAAATCTAAAAATCTTAATTTACTCCGCAATAAGTTATCGCGAGCAGCAAGATCACCTCACTAAGCGACTCTCTTTTCACCACATGTTCAGTACAGATTTACAGACACTGTCAAGTTCAAGTGGAAAATCCCAGATAGATTGTTCTGGGCATGCATATGGACATGCATGGGATTTGAAGCAAACATTCTGATCATTGCCTGCACTTGACATGCTAAAACTATCATTCCCACGCTAAGACGAGTCGAGTGGCCGAGCGGTAAGGCAGGGGCGCCGCAACTACAGAACATCGGCGCTGGTTCCAGCCGCTCCTCGCCCATGGTTCGGTTGGTAGAACCAAGTCTTCTCGGATAAGGACTTAAAATGGAGGTCCAGTGTATACATCTGGCTCGTGTGCACTTTAAAGAACCAATTGCATCTTTCGGAAGAGTAGGGGGTTACCCCGATGTTATGGTTCATTTCAGCCCCTGTCGTTGTGGAATGATGTAAACATGTATCTACCAAGAAGCGCCTCTTTACGGCTGCTAGGTAGTCACGGACCACGCCCATACGCAATTCAGCACAATGACGCTGCAAGTTATGGGTTATTCTCCTACCTTTACCTTTACCTTTAAGACAGAACACTAAAACGATATTTCTTCGGCGATTTCGTTATTTAAAACATGGTTATTATACTACTTAAAATAACACATGTATTATATTCTGAAAATCCGAAACTCTCCTAAATTCCGAACGTAATATTCGGTATAAACACAAAAATCAACTTCTTAAACGAGACGATCAGTTAAACCCTGAAAAAAAACAACAAGCAGGTCTACCAGATGCCGTGAAAAAGAACTGTGATGTCATGCCATGGAGATTATAATAAATTGATTAAAATGACACAACAGTATGTTAAACAAAAAGTTAAACCTTCCACTAGGGTGATTCTTTTCAGTATCCTGGCATTTTAAAAACCTATGTGCTATTTCCAAACATCTAGACGTGTAAATTTTACAAAATTTTCTAACCCCAGCCCCAAACATGGTGGGGCTGAGGTTATTGGAGACTCACACCGTACCAATCAATGCTTCCGCCACCCCTGATTACGGAGGAAATTTGTAGAGAATGAAATTTAATTTTGTTTTGATTTATTTCTAAAATAAAACCATTAAGGTTTCTTGATATGTTTAAATTAATTTGTTTAATTAAGTCATCATCATCTTGCACTGAGCTTGTTCCTTGTGTCATGCACTATGAAACTTTGGGTGATCTGACGTCATCGAAGCATGTGTTTGCACACCACTGTTGCACACCACTGTTGCACCCCTGAAAAACATAATTAACAAATTGGCGGACAGGATTTCGGAGGCGCGGTCTCTGCCCTCCACAAAGTGAATGCAAAAAAAAATAACAAAATTAAGAACTTATGTGCTATTTCCGAGCACCTAGACATATAAATTGTACAAAATGGATGGGATCATAAATTGTACAATCATGGAGGGGCAGAGGTTATTAGAGACTGTCACGTCGTATAAACGGTAGCGGAAGCAGGGGGGGGGGCCATTGGGCAACCCACTTTTTCTACTGGGGGCCTGGCCCCCCCTTTTG